AAACCCCCACAAACAAAAACCCCCAAAAAGGGAAAAAAAAAAAAAAAAACCAAAAACCTTTTTAGCAAAAAAGATTCTTGCTAGACAGGAGAGAGTCAGAGAGATAGTGAGAGCGAGAGTGAGAACTCACCCCTTAGGGAAGGATGGCCGTGCTATAGTCCTGTCTCTTCCAATCTCCTCCTGGAATTTTAGGCATCCATGCACACATGCCTAGTGTGAGTTTCAAGCCACCTGGTCTGGGACTCAAACCGCTGTTGGTTATGTGGGACTATAGTGCCATAACCACTATGCTACCTGATGGCTCCCCTACTATAACCCTTTTTAATTTTTTTTTAGAAACTTTTGCTTTAGGACATGTTTGCTCACTGGAGAGAGAAAGAGCCAGTGAGGGAATAAGTGAGAAATCATCCTCCAGGGAGGATGACCACACCACAATCCCATCTCCTCCATTCTTCTCCTGGGATCTTAGGCACACATGCACACATGCTCAGCGTGATTTTTAAGCCATCAGGTCCGGGATTCGAACTTCAGTTGGCCATGTAGGAGCCTGGCAACATAATTGCTATGCCATGTACCATCCCCCCTCCCTCCATTGTAACTCTTATGTGCTGCCTGTTTCTGTGGGCCAAATGATAACTATTTGGGAAGAAAAGGCCTTTTTTTTCCCCCCTCCTGAGCTTACTATACTCTCATGACATTCAAATGTCATTCTTTTCAGATAGTTTCTAATGACAAGGTTGTAGTGCCACCTGCAAGTTCTAACGTGTGTGCTTCCAAGACAATATGAAATGTAGGCCTCATCATTTAATTGCTCTAGCTTATGAAGGTCTATTAATAGATAGAGCACATCCATAGAATATAATTAGGCAAATAAACGAGAGGATAGAGGCAGATAGTCTAAGAAGCGTGATGGTCTATTGTGATGTAGAAAGTCCAACACTGACCCGTGGGTTTAGTTTGGCAAGAGTAAGTGTACTTGTAGTTGAAAAGGCAAGCTTTTCTTTTTATTTGTATCTGGCCATTTTAACTTAGATGTCACAGCATTTCTCAAAAAAACTGCACATATGGGGAACCAGCAGTTAGCGTAATGGCTATGTCGCTGGACTCCCACGTAGTCGACCGCGGTTTGGGTCCCGGACACGGTGGCTTAAAACTCACGCCGGGTGCGTGTGCGTGCGTGCCCAAGATCCCGAGAGGAGAATGGAGGAGAAGGGATTGCGGCGTGACCATCCCCCCTGGGGGGTGATTTCTCGCTTTCTGTCTCTATGTCTCTCTCTGTCTGTCTGACGAGTGTGCACGCGCCCTACAGTGAAAATCTCTTCAAAAAAAAACTGCACGTATGAATTTTATTTTTTTAAATCTAGGCCAGTCTCAGAAGTTCTCCATTATTTTCTGTATTTTTTAAATTTATCTTCATAGCCTTACCACCCATCTAGTCACCCAAGCCAGAAATGACATGCTAATCTTCATTAGCCTCTTCTCTTTCTCTTTCCATGTCCAGACTAGCTCTCCTCTGTGCTCACTCTGCCTACCTCCTAAATAAATCCCTTGACTCTTTATTGTTCTGGTTTGTGTATGTCTCATTTCTCACTTGAGTAGCTGTCTTGACCCTTTAACTGGCTTCCGTGCCAGATCTCTGTCCCCACCCAATCTGATCCATCTATCGGAACTGTCTTTCTAAAATGTAATTATGATCTTCACTTCCCTGAACAAAAATAGCCCTTTGATATCTTCTCATTAACTTTAAGAAAAAAAATCATAAACTCTCTTCATGGAACAGAAGTTTTACTAGAACTTGTCTTTGTAGATTTATATTTAGCCACTTTCCCTCCATGCTGTCTAAGGTTGAATCATATTTAATTGCTTATCATTTCCAAATCATGCCTTGTTTTGGTTGAAACCTTGTTCTGGGGGGTACCTTTTACACTTCAGAAATCACATATCCTTTATATTCCATGGGCTGTTGGTTACACTGTTTGCATGTTACATTACATGATATAGAGTAGTCTAAGAGGGATTCTCACTTGATGCACCCTTGAGGGTAAAGTTTCTTCGTTCAAGTACAAAGCATGTTATCTAACTGGTGTGCTACTTATGATTGTTTTGAATTAAAAAGAGTTAGTTCTAGGTGGTTTCAGGATTTTTGATGCTAGCAGTTTGAAATATTTCTGTATTAAAGTAGACAAAATTAAGATTTTTGAAATATAGCCTTCACTCGTTTATGTCAGGAATCTTACCATGTTGACATCAGGGAAGGGCATCAAAGATATTTATTTAGTTTGGATGTATCTCACTGACACTTATGAATTCTTTTTTTCTAAGTAACTTTTTTCATCATGATGACATACTTACAAACAATGCCAGCAAACTGCAAAAAATATGGTTCAGGTGACTCTCTTAGTTTAATTGATGAATCCATATTGTATAGACTTAGTTGCTTCTAAGTGATAGATATAATTTCACTCTGAAAAGGGTCTGGGTATCTACGGTAATAGTGTAAATGGAGGCCTACCAAGGTGGCACAGCAGCAGTGTAGCACTGGGCAATGCTGGAACCATATGGAAGCTCAGGGTTCAGTTCCTGGGTTGACTTGTATATGCTGGGCATACACATGCCCATCCTCTTGGCTGGTTGGGAAGTCTGTTGAGGGAGATTGTGCTTAAGACCCTGCTCTGAGGGTGCTTCTCTTTGTCTTGTGAATGAAAGAAATAAACCAAAATAAACCAAATTATTTTCTTTTAAAAAGGAAGTTTTTATTTGGGCCTTAAGATCAGGAAGTTTAGATTGCTGGAACAAGACATAAAATTAACTCAAGAGCAGAGGGCTCTATGTTGAGAGTTTCAACATCTTAAAGTTTAAATGCAGTAAGGATGAGATCTAACTGCTTATATATATGACTGAGAGGCTGTATGTGCTGGCCAGGTGAGAGGTTCCAGAGGTCACTGAGCCCACGTTGTAGATGTGGCTCTCCACCCATGAAATGAGCACAGACTTTTATATACACTGGATTACTTTTACTCTGCTTGCCTATAAGTGGAAAACTTGGGCATACCTCATTGGTCCATAAAGGCCTTTCCAATGAACACACTTTTTGGTAATTAGGGAATTGATAAAACTAATGACTCATTGTTAATTCTAATATTTGGTAAAAGCAGTTGAAATTTTTATCTAAATATTGCAAATCAGGTCTTTCTCCTGCTGGTCTAAGGGTATGTTGAGATTTAAGAGTCCTCTCGGTAACAAAAATCCAAGTAAAAGCAGTGGCAATAGCTGTTTTATAGACTTCATTTATTTCCCTGTGTGCACCATCTATCATGTCTTTTCTACGTAGAAACTTATTCTTTTAAAAACAATGATCCTTTGTAGTTTATTTTAATTTATTTTCATTTGACCAAAGGCTTTATATATGAGGAATTACACTAAGTTGTGATAAAAAGTGTCTGTTGACTGAAGTATGTTTCTACCTTAAAGTGAGGATGTTCAAATTGGAATTTTCCCAAGGAATTTTGGTGAACTTTGTTATTCTCTTCTGTACTGATGAAATGTGAGAGAGAAATTCTGCTTTAGGCTCCACTTTAGTAATTTTATCACATGTAGTTGCTGTACATATTTTAATAATTACATTTGTATGCTTTATGTTTTAGAACTCCACAATTATTATTATTATTTCTTTTTTTGGAGAGGTTTTCGCTATAGAGCGCATGCACTCACCAGAAAGACAGAGAGAGAGAGGCAGAGAGATAGAAAGCGAGAAATCACACCCTAGGGGGGATGGCCACGTCACAATCCCTTCTCCTCCATTCTCCTCTCGGGATCTTGGGCATATACGCACATGCGCTTGGCGTGAATTTCAGCCGCTGGGTCCAGGACTTGAACCGCAGTCGACTACATGAGAGTCCAGTAACATAGCCATTACGCTAACTGCTGTTCCCTAGAATTATTTTTTTCTTTTTTTGGAGAAGAACTCCACAATTATTGAGTACTTTTTATGCTAGATGCTTTGCTAGGCAAGTACATTTACCTATATTATTTCTTTGATTCCTAATGACAACTTAAGGAAAGTATTTTTTAATTCTCACATTATAGTTGAAGAAACTGAGGCCTAGCAAATTTATTGCCCACAGCTAGTTTTGTTGGTGCCAGAATAGGAATGTGAGTCTGGCTTTGATACTTGTCTTCTAAATCCTGTACAGTACTCTAACTGGTAGTTCTGGGTTTTAGGATAGGATATTACATCCACTAGAGAGTGGATTAGGTCTGTTAATTCATTTCATGGACGCTTCTCAGTAAGTTCTGTGGACAGTGACCTTTGCTTCTATTGGCCTTACATTTAGATTCGAATTTTAAACTAGAAAAGGTTTTATATCTCACAAGTAATCTGTT